AATTGCAACAATTTAATTTTAGTACGTGTATTTTATTTTAAAATTGATCTCATTGTAGTGTCTATTTTACTTTAAAAGAAAGGATAATAAAATGTTAAGAGAAAACATTAACATTTTTAACGTTTACAGAAACTATTTGTTAACAACAAATAGTCTCCTAAAATTATTAAATTAGGAAAAGATCGTTGTACCTAGTCACCCAAATATGTACCTAGCTAAACATCTACACAGCACACGTTATTCAATATGACGGTCGCGGTAAACAAATCTAAACTCTATACTGTTAAAGTGTAACGTGATTTCAGAATAGCTTAATACCTTGTCTGGCACGGAAACCAAGCCCTGGGCTGGCATCAATGGTCACACCTGTGATCGATAGTTGAGCAGTAGACTATACATTAGTTAGTGCTGATTTATTGTAAACGGTGGTAACAGCAAAGTAGTACATTTATCATCAACCCCTCTATTCCGTGGGTGTCACAAGATAAGAGATTACCAACCCAACCCCTTGAAACTCCAATCTTCTCACCTGCCAATCGTGAAGATAATGGTAAACTTCGTGTTTGTGGGCTCTCGATGATATAGGTACGTACCCAAGACTAAAAACGATATGTTATTAAAAGTAAGCGACTCTAACTTTACCAGAATGCATTTATTCTAAGTCTAGATAAGTCTTCCAAAAGTCTACTAATTAAGTAAGATAAAATAATTGCCCATTACTTTAAATTTATCATTGCCTTGGTTTGATGTAACAGCTCACGTTTATAAGTTAAAATGGCGGACCATTTAACTCGAACGTCTAACAAACAGTGAAAGCCGATGAGCTGGCAAAACAACAGTTAAGAAAAGCTCACTGAACTGTCAAATACTTCAAATTACTTTTTCTTTTATACATTTCAAAGGTTTTCTGGGAATCGTAGCTAAAGTAATTTTGTATTCAAAACTTTTTTGGGAGTCCTGAATACAAGAATTGTCTTAATTCTTGGTAAACTAAACGGATTAGCAGGCTAGTTTTAATTTCCGAAATAATCCATCTTAATGCCAAATGTCAAGAATGTTAATTGTGGGCGTAATTGAGCAACATATAATACTATAACTCCCACATACTCCTGTGATGATTGACTGCCCAGCTCAGCTCATCCGTACATTTTCATATTCATCATCGTTAACAACCCTTGACAGGACATAGTACTATGAATCTCCTCTACATTTATACAATACTAAATACGCCCGCGCGATTTCACCGGACTCGACTGCTCGACTACGATTCATCGTAATGAAATTAATATTCGTTAGCAATATGGTCAAATTCGATAAAAATGTCTATTAATTGACGGGTACGACACCGACACATGTTAACGCATATTTCTGGCTAAAACAGAAGCTGTCAAATAACATAAAGTTCGTAAAGTAAAAGCAAATTTTAACCGCGAAATCTTTTTAAAAACGAATTCTAGAAAAATTATAAAAATGCAGACAAAACCAAGAGCCCAATGGCTATATTTTATGGCGAACCTCAGCCACATTACTCTTAAATATTGCAATTTTAGCTACGATGCACCTGTGGTTTAAAAACACGTATTAAGTAAAAGCGAACCTGAACGAAATTACAATTTTGCTTTGCACATATTTTGTGAAGATTATACACATCTACATATTTTATTCTAACCTTGTCTAACCCAACAAAGATAATTTAGTCTTGACAAGAACGTAGTATAGACACGTTAGTTGTGTATTCTCTTTGCACCCTAAACAGGTACTTAGATTGTCTCACCTCACGACCCTCTCACATTTACTTACAAAATAAATAAGTTTACCTAAACTTAAGCCAAAGATGTTAATCCTAATAACAATGAATATTATCTATGCAAAATTTGGTATTAAAATTAGATAACACTGAAAGTACCTGATGTGTTTTCCTAAACTAAATTCTGTATTTACCAAGAATACCGTAGAATGTTTTTAAAGAAAATCAAATGTACTTATATTCTCACAAACTTTTGCATCTATCATAAATTAGTAAGATCTCTCGATACTATATCTGAAAATTTAAAAATAAGTAAATTATTCAAGAAAAATGTTTAACCAAAGCAATAAAAAGATAACTTTCTTTATTCATAAAAATACTATATAAGCCGCGGCGCCGAAATCTTTGGGTAGGTAGCCTTACTGCTTGTGTCACCCCCGTGGGCCCTGTCCTAGTTTTATGGTGTCAAATATTGAGCGACAGCCAATCCCTTTCTCTACCTACTTGTGCCGCTTCAAGATAAAGGTTTTACGTCGCAGAACACGAAGTTCTGTGACGTAAAGATTAAACTTAAATATAGATTTTATTTGAGAAAACCACCCATATTTTAAGTGTGGGAGAGCCATGCATCGGCACGAAAGCGCCAGCTTCATCGGAGCGATCACGGCCTCACGGAAAACTGACGTGAAACAACGCTTGCGTTGTAATTCTTCGTGTGAGTGAGGTTACCGGAGGCCCAATTAGCCCCCCCCCCCTCCTCAGTCATCTCAATTCTTAACAATCCTAAAATACCGGTAACGCACTTGTAACGCCTTGGAGTTTCAGATGTCCATGGACGGCGCCGATTGCTTACCATCAGGTGATCGGTCTGCTCGTTTCCCGGCTTAGGTATGCCATAAAAATCGCCGCGACACGTTGCACGGTAGCTAAATGCCCAGCCACCGCACCAACCGTGCAGTCATTTGAATTAATGATCAAAAAATACAAAATCAGAAAAAGAAAGCTCGCAAATAAAAAGGTCAAAGCACTAGGTAAGCAAGGTAAACCGAGAATTAGAGAAATCGGTCAAGAAACAATGGCATTCAGTGCCATTTTCACAATACGAAGGGCACACGGCGGACTATATTTAATGGCAAGTATAAGTCGAATTAATAGGTCGAGATGAAACAGATAAGGATGTAATTTCCGTTTGTTTGTCAAAGGTCAGTCCGCCGGCGGCCACTAAATCTAATTTGTTTACGACCGCCTTGTGATTGCCACTGTGCACAAATATACCTATAAAGGTATGTAAATTATGAATCGGAAAACCGAAAAACGTATGTTCGTTGTGGGTGAGGTCCGTACTCTAACACAGGAATTGTCACAGATGCGCGAATTTTATGGTATAGTATTTTTTTGTTATGGCATAAGCCGGTAAACGAGCAGACGGATCACCTGATGGGTAAGCAATCGGCGTCGCCCATGGACACCTGGAACACCAGAGGCGTTACAAGTCGGTTACCGACCTTTTGGGGATTAGGAGTTTGAGGATCGTTGGGGATTCAGGAATTGGGGAGATTGGGGAAGGGGAGGGTAATTGGGCCTCTGGTAACCTCACTCACACGTCGAAACACAACACAAGCGTTGCTTCACGTCGGTTTTCTGTGAGGCCGTGGCATCACTCCGGTCGAGCCGGCCCATTCGAGCCGAAGCATGGCTCTCCCACACTTATAATATATAGTATATCGCACCTTTGTATATCAATGTTCAGCAATTAAGGGCGCTTTTTATAACTGCACTGGTACTATATAATTAGGTACCACAAGAATATCTTATATACATAAGTAAAACTGATTTACGGTCGATTTTCGAAAGCCAGCCAGTTAAATTTTGCCAAGGAATAACTTTGAATATTTGTCAATTATTCTATACTAAAAACTGTCCACTGTCAGTTCTATTCTTCAGTTAAGAATTAACTGTTGATATAAATATCGGCTCTAAATTAGTGGGCTATTGCCGTAGTGTGTAGTAGGATACTCTGAATTTGATTCTAGAATCTGAAATACTGATTTTAGAATCAAGCAACCTCGGGTGCTACGAAAAATCGAATTTCATTCGTTTTGTCTTTCTACGTACTCGAAACGGCGACCACTATAAAAATCGATGTCTTACTTTGAAAGCGCAGCTTTTAACTTCCATCCAATTTTATTCCATTCGCTAAGAGTTTTCTTGCCTACTTTTTTAAGTTTCATATTATGTTACTTCGCGACGTATTTGTACAAGGGTACATAATAGGATAGTGATACACTCGACAGATGACCAAATGTAAACATTTAACTTAGTTCAATGCAACATCCAATATTTACCTTATTATGGTAACTCGTATTCGGTTTTACTGCCTCGTTAACCGAGTGGTCGCAAGTGTCTCGGGTTCGATTCCCGGGTCGGGCAAAGTATTACTGGAATACTGGGATTTAAAAAATTCTCAGAGGTAGCCCGGAGTCTGGAATTGTGCCCGGTATATTGCAATAGGCTCACGCCCTATTACATAGGACTCATAACATAAATAGTGAAAAATGGGTGTTACATTGTACAGGGGCATAATGTGCACCTCTGCTTACCCCTTCGGTTATAAAAGGCGTGATGTTATGTTATATTATTCAGTTTTAACTAATACATACATTTTTAACACGTCAGAAGCATTCAATAATTTCATTTTATGACGACAGCAACATAATGAACACGGGAGTCACGCATAACAACTTCAATTAAGGAAGCACTAAAGCCCCGTTATGTCAGATAAATCGCTATAAAATGTAAACGTCGGCATAAACAAATACAGTAAAATTCCTAATCAAATCGAAAGTATCTGTAATCTTGGCAAGGTAGCCAAATAAAGACGGACTGGAAAGGTATAGAATGATAAGAAAGGGACGGGACTTTCGCTTTGGCAGTATAATATCGCATATAAACGCTGCAGACTGATTAGTCGGATTCACTGTTTGTCTTGCTTCAAAGAAATGAAGACGATACCGGGAGCTGGACATAAATTACACAAAACTACTTGAGTACCAAAGCACCAAAAGAAAATACTTTTATCTATTTTTGTTTGTGTTAATCGGAACGCTCTAAGCACACAAGTACAAATATTTATTTTAAACTCAACAATTAATTAGTTTTAATCACATGTTTGCTTCATTATTGAGATGACTGGATTTCACTATTACATAATTAAATAGTGAAATGGAATGTAGGCAATTTACATAATATGATGTTGTTCATTGATACATGTAGTGTACGAACTAGTTTGGGCAGTTACAAACAGAAAATAAACATACTTTTGTTATATAACATTTTATTAACATTTTTATGGCACCTTTGAGTATTAAATCATGTGTAGTTTACAAATGTTAGTGAATTAATTGTTGCATTTAATATAATAAGTAGATCAAGGTGGAACTGGAACTTTCTGTTACACTATTATTTACATTAACCTTCAAGTAAGTTATACAACAATGCATTTGTTAGCCCGACTAGGATGAACTTACGGAAATTCGGGAAATCAACTGCAAAAATTTTCTCAATGTTACCGCTTTCATCGCAGAAACAAATTTTTATCAATAACTAATAAATAACCTAATTAACTTAACACAAACTTTGGCTCGGTCTATAGACATTAAGCTGGTTTATATAAAAAACTAAATTGATCCTTAAATAAAATTCGCTTAGCATCTTTTAGCATTATAAAAAAATTTGGATACAATACAGAAATAATTGCATAGTTTTAACACTTATTTCATTTTTTTTCTACTCAATAATATTTTACTTATAATCTTTAATGACTGATGACGAACCAGTTTTCAAATGCAATGAGTAAGTAAATACATACGACCTTTGTAAACACTGAATGCCTATAGCCTCTCATCCACTCACGGTAACCATTGTCACCCGTGCTCTACACCAGACCCTCATACCCTAGTCTCACTTCTTCCCATTCACTAGACCTGGATCTAAGGGCACTATGCTTTGTACTGTACCAGTTTTGTCCAGCTCTTTGTTGACTTGCTCCGCTATTTCCAATGGGTCGCCATTATACTTCACAAAGAACACCTCGTGTTCCGAAGGGGTCGATTTTGGTAATACTAACGGTTGTTGCGTCTCCGGGTTTTTCACCAAAACATAAATGAGGGTTTTATGTTCAACTGAAGCGTTACTCATTTCGGCAATTTGTTGTAAACGAGCCAAATTCGACTTAGATTGTTGCGAAGGTACCTTTATAAATATAATTTTGTAATTCTTTTTTGGCGGTGGAGGGGGTGGTGCTGTTTTAGGATCTTCCACTTCTGGGGGTGGCACATGAAAATATATGTGCTTGAAAACAGTGGGAGCTATTGGTACACTGCTAGATAATGAACTGGAACTTCCGACAATATTAGCTGAAGCTGATTTAGTAAAACCAGTGTTGAAAATTCCATTACTAGACCCTGTTTGTGTGGTGGCAGAAGATTGTGATATAGAATTCAAGTTTCCATTGTATGTTGCACCAGATGCTTGGACGGTACCGGTATTGAATGACGAACTGGTTTGTGAAATCAATGGTTTCCAACCGTTATTTGAGTTGGTTTGTCCATGCTGTATCGTTGATTGGATTGGTTGGCTAAAACCGTTGCTCAGACTTTGGCCAATTTGATAACTTTGAGAGTAACCAGTATTTATGTTAGAATTATGCTGCGAGTATCCTCTATTAAATGAGCTTCCCGCTGACGAGAAACTGGTTTGGACATGAGAATTACTTGAGCCAGCAGAGCTAGCGGAAAGGTTCGGCGGGAAATAGGAGTAGCCTGAATTGTAATTTGTACCCGCAGTTGAAGACGAAGCTTGAACATAACCGTTGCTTTTAGAATTCGCATTGCCTATTGGCGGGAAAGATTGAGAATATGCAGAGTTAACATTACTACCGACAACCGGTAAAGGACTCTGAGCGTAATTATTATTTAATATTGAACTGCTAGAATATGGAACTAGTACGTGTGAATACCCACTATTCGAATTTCCAACAGCTGGTGATAACGAGATTTGGGAGTAACCGTGGCTAAGAGCATGGCTAGCACTACCGCTGGCTTGAGAATAGCTATTTAATACATTTCCACTAGAAGCTTGGGCATAACCATTACTGAGGCCAAAAGCTCCAGACTGTGGCAAAGGTTGAGAAATACTAGAACTTGCTGCAGTACTAGGTGTGGCTGACAAATAACCAGAATTTAAGACTTGGTTATTATTAGATTGATAACCAATATTTGCATTAATGCCAGAAGGTGCTGGAATCTGAGAATAGCCATGTACATTACCGCCTGATGTTGGTACGAAGTTATGATTGTTACCACTATTGTAATTGTAACCAACTTGCGCATAGTTCTGCGCGGAGTTAATGTTCAGGCTCGCACTGGGCGCCCCCACCGGTGCAATGCTTTGTGAGTAACCAGAATTGACGTAACCATTGTTCACCTGGGACCCTGCATATCCTCCGTTGCCGGACGAGTGGTTTATAAAGCCTCGATGATCTTCCTTATTTTGATAAACATCATTCTTTAAATATACATAGTCCTTGTAGGATACTGAATGTGACAACTTATCCTGTTCATTTGGCAGAGCGCTGTGATGATGTGAGTCATGACCCGTGTGAAAATTTGCGGGCTGGCTGCCCGGCAGACCGAATTGTGGACTCGGGGTGTTATATTGGTAGCCTGCATCTGCTAGTGCCAGACTGATCACTAAGAAAACCTAAAAAAACACAACTTATTAAATCACAACGCACAACACAATTTATAAACTCCACGAACACAATTTTTAACTATTATTTTAGTATCGGACGGGACTGACCAACACGAGTGACATCTTCGTTTTCCCATACACACATCAAATGATGGTCGTCGGCCCAAAGGCAATATTTATAAACGCTTTCCCTTTGATAAAATGTGTCTTAGGTTTGCTAATTTTGTATAAATGATGAGTTTGAGTCGATCACATTTCCGGAGTCACTAAGACCGCGGATTGTATGCTAGTCGTAGCGTACCTACATATTTATGTCGCTACCGCACGGTAGCGACATAAATATGTAGGTTCACGTATGCATACTTTTTACTTACATTTAAATTGACTTTCGTACGTTGTATACAAATGTACCATTTATAAAATACCGGCTCTTTACTAGCACTTCAATCTTCATTGTCTTTCATTGTTCATCTGCAATCAGCTAATTTTTTTTAGAAAAGGAAGCGGACAACTGTCGCCCGATTCACGATTGATTGATTCATTGATTTATAAATCAATGCTATATAATAAAATAATCAATGCTATGGAAATATATTGACAAATAGTACCATTACCTATCTGTACAAATATGTTAAAATAGATTTTTCGCTGGCCGCTCCTCTTCACGGTGTAACCTCACCATTAAGTATTATAATTCACAGTTTATATTCACGTGAGATACTATGAGATATATAAATATTCAAAACCAAACGATAACACGACAGTTTCACACGGATAGACGATGATAGAAACCCTCAAATGTGGAAAATTTAGGTGAATAGGCCTACTACGTAATTATGTAAACTAACTTTATTGTGCCGAATTTTTAATCAAAGGTTACACGGAGTTTGAAAGTTGATTTTGCTTATATTGAAACTACTGCCTACCTGGACCAAAACAAAATACATTCACAATAGGCACTTATATATTACAATTACGTAATGAAATTAATAGCAATGTAATAATAGTAATGTAATAGAAATGTCGGTTAACTAGAATGGTTATCCTAACAAAATAAGTTGTTTACGTTAAAAAGCTTTCTAATTTTCATAATGCCCTAAAACTTCTAAGACAATCCTATCTAGTAATGAATTAATGCAAATGTTACGTAACAAAATGTTACTCGGTGGTGTTATTAAATCCAGTTCGAACAATTTCGTAACATTTTTCTCATACTGTGGAATGTGTTTACAGTTTCAGTATTTTTATAATGTAAATGTAATTTTGTGACAATGTGCCTGTGCCTATATTATTTCTATTAGGTATGTAATTTTCCGTAATAACTAGGATTTTCGAGTCAAGCATAACTGAGCCTCTCTCGTTGGTTAAATCCCAAGATTAAGAGGGTGACGACCCAATTATGAAAGGAAAATGTTGATTAAATAAAAAATAACAAAAAAAGACAGTTTAATTAGCATTTTCGAAATTATTTTAGGTATGTGTGTTTTGAGTGTGAAGTTCAATTTATCATTTACGACTCTGAAAACTAAAATATTTAATGTAAATTCTGGAGAATATATGCGACGACAGTGCTAGACAAAATACCGATAAATTCCACATATTCCATCGCACCTGGGACAATACCTGTTCATTAGGTATTAATAGAATTTGCCCTAAATAACAGTATCGACAGTATTATGCTAATTAGAGATTATCCTACTAAACAATTACCCAATATAATTTCTTATTAAATACTTCTAATAGTAATTCATGTGACTAATTTATACTTTATTTTGCTTGTTTCAGTTACGGAGAAGGAAATCCGGCTGTGGTGCGTATAATTCAGGAAATAATTTATTATTGCCATGAGTACCAGAGTATGGCATGAGTACCAGAGTAGGTTACAGAATTCTGTCCATCTGAACAATCGTCTTTTTCTTTAGCAAGTTTTGACTCTCCAGAGTCTGCAGTCAGTCAGGCAGTATTTGTTATCTATTTTTTAACAAAATCAACTTATTTGGATCTAGCCTTTTGTTATTTTATCGGATAAAACAAATAATATAATTCTGGTGAAGATTTGGTAGGACTTAAGTCCACCTGGCTATCAGTTTTATTACTAAGGATTAGCTATTTCTTATGTATTTCCTTTAGTGGATGCGTATCAACATTTCGATCCACAAAGCAACACAAACCATCTGACTCACTTTAGTTTTAAATTTATTTATTTTTGGTACTTACTTATTATTTCTTTTCTAGGCACAAAGGGTTCCTGAAGGACTGTCCGAATGGACTCCTGACCGAACAGGTAATGTCAATGAGTTACATAATTTCCAACAACAATAGTGCGTATTTCAGTAAAATATTTAACTAATATCAGCCTCATTGATCGAATGGCTACACGACTACTGAGTAAGGCGTCTTAGGTTAAATTCCCCACTGTCGAGCAACATGTCGCGGGTTTGACCCCCACAAGGAACAATGATCCATTATGATCCATAAATTTCTATTAGGTACACACTAGAAAATGTTACTTACAACACATTGATGTTTCTAGATAACAATATTCTTGTGTGATAATAATATATCCTTGTATATTTCCAGGGGTTCATTAAGATCTATAAGCAGTTCTTCCCGCAAGGTGACCCCAGTAAGTTTGCATCCCTCGTCTTTCGAGTGTTCGACGAAAACAACGTAAGTGGACCTTTTTATTACTCAGCTTCATAATAATACAGTGATAGCACAATGTTACGGTAACGATCCGCAAAAAAAAACATACATTGATTGTGGTTTTAATTTACGTGGACACTAGGGGAATCTCAATAAATGGTGTCAAAAGAAAGGGCTATTTGGCTAAAAGTTTGACAAATGAAAAAAAAAACAAGCATTACTTATCAATCTTAGTATATTTGCTTATTATAACCTGGATTGAAAGGCCTAAAAACCAGAACTCTCAGTAGAATCTAGGTCCTATAACAAAAGCAAGAGAGAGATCGAGCACTGCAGATTTAGAGATCTCAATAAAATCCATAAGCTTTTTGTAGTTAGCCAATTTTAATTGTCGCTATTTTCTCCACTAAATTATGTCATCCAAAAATACGATAAAGCAGGCGATCAAGAGAAACCTAACCACAAAAAGATCGGCCCACTTTCCTCATGATTACGACCAGAATATATGGCCCTTAATTAATATTAGATAACTTAAAACTATTTAATATTCATAGCCACTATGCCCATCGAGCAGGTTGGAATCGACTTCATTTAAGATAGGTATAGGCATTATTAACCCATTAATACGACAACTGAATTGTTTTATCTTCAATATTGAGTGTTATTAATTAAAATATAAAGTTCCTGTTCAAGATGGCAATTCCTCTGATTTCTTGTCTAGCACTGCTATGTCCGACCAGCATAAGTAACGAGATACCTTCTTCCTTCCAGGATGGCTCCATCGAGTTCGAGGAGTTCATTAGAGCACTATCGGTGACGTCACGGGGAAATCTCGACGAAAAGCTGCACTGTATGTACCTCCTGTTTCATAAACATATTGTCCAATATTTTACAATGCTTCCTTATATTAAAATAAGAATGAGTGTAAAGTAACCACATTAAAATCAGCATAGGTATCTTTTATCATTCCCCACAAAATAAACATCTTCACTTTTATCCCATTCTCCGTTTTCAGACAGTACTATGAAACCTAAAATTATCGGTCCATTTATCAAGGCTGAAAATCGAATAACCAAGCTCAAATATTGCAATTTCCAATAATTTAATTATTAGGCTCCGATAGCGATAAACTGTTTAGTGAAAATTTATGCAGGTTAATTGGTGGTATATCTACTTTTCAGGGGCCTTCCGACTCTACGATGTTGATAACGACGGCTACATAACACGCGACGAAATGTACAACATAGTAGACGCGATCTATCAGATGGTGGTATGTACACTTTTCTTTTTACTCCTAAGCAATAATCCTTATTAGTCCCTATAATCTAAAAAAATCTAGATTTCAATTGCAACATGAACTTTGGAATACTATGAAATAATACATCTTTGGAGCAGTTCACAAAAGACTTCTTTAGATCCTATGAATTGCAAACACGATCATGGTTAAACTAAAAGTCTTTAATGAACTCGTGTACTGTTTCAGGGCCAAACTCCACAACCAGAGGACGACAACACTCCTCAGAAGCGCGTCGATAAGATCTTCGACCAGATGGATAAGAACCATGACGATCGTCTGACGTTGGAGGAGTTCCGTGAGGGCAGTAAGGCTGACCCTCGCATTGTCCAGGCTCTCTCACTTGGAGGCGATTAATCGACGGTCATCCTCTCGCCGGACTTCACATTTACTTAAAGAGCTAATATCATTCCGCCGCTTGTGTCTGTGTAATAATTTGTGTACTACATGTTTCTATGTATGTATATAATACCTATGTGTATCCTAAAAGGTTATTTAAATGTATTATGTAACCAATTCTTTGTGTTAGGCGTTAATATCTATGTAATTTCAATGTATACTTATTTACGGTGTTATTTTCGTACATACAATTCCGTGTTGTTATTTCGTTGATTTTGATCTAATAAGATCAATTTTTTATTTCAAATTGTATTTATTTAATATTTGAACAAACGTAGATATAATTATGTGCAAGAATTGTAATGAATGTCTTGTAACATATTAATCTGTTGTAACATAGGCGACGGATGCATATTAATTAATTGTTGTTTTTTAGAAACATTTGCCAATATGAACACCAGGCCAGGAGCGAGGCTTTATTTATCAATCATTCGGTACCACTACGTACCTATTATAAATCAAAACCAATTTATTTATTTCTGTGCGATACAAAACTCAACGTTTTTAGAATTAACGAAATATACCTCGTTGGTTTTACTCAAAGTTTCGCATAATTTATCTACAAAGAATATCTCAAAAATATTTTTATATTTCTTATATTTGTAACAAAAATAATTTGAGAATCCGCCTACTTCTGGAATTTCTGTCTACTAACAAGCAATAGTGGTCTCGTCTTGATTTGCGCGTGAATTAATGATGCAATGTAACAACAACGTTTCTTGAAGTGACAAAATATTGTTGTGGCCTTAAGAAAAGGCGTTAATTGCTTCAAACTATTTTCCAACGAAATGCAGTCACAAACCAAGAACAGATACATTGTTTTCAATATCGGAAAGTTGACCATCTTGAACACAATCAGCGCTTTAGGGAAGGGAAACAAAGAATTCGCCAACAACTCATAATCGGTTCTGGCTTATCGCACATATGTGGAACAGTACTTGAAAATGGTTTTAATTTATTAATTACAATGTTAAAGAACATTACGTGTGCGCTGTAAAGTGCTTTCTATTTCTAAATTAATGTAATAAATGTGGTAGTTGATCCTCGCCATCAGTTTCGTGTTGGCAAATTTAGTCGAGCTCTATCTAAAGTAAATGATGAATAATATATACGTTCTACCTTCCTGAAGTTGAAACCTACAAGACATCTTAACCAGATGTGATTTTTAAAATTAAATCATGTGATAGGACTACATTCATCCCTCAATCTGAGCTTTTGCTCCTCCATCCGTGCGAGAGAATGACCGGAGATAACACAACCGGTTATCGTAAAAATCGTTGTTAGTGCACTAGGTAGACACACGATAATTTTTCGAGAAAACGATAATTCATTGTCAAACAATCGCCTAATCTTAACGTCATCAACAAAACTTACAGTATGAAATGGAAATGGTGTCAATATAGACACGCCACGGTCTCCACCGGGCCGCATTGTCACCCGTGGCACAGCGCGCCCCGCGGGGCCCCGCTGGCATGATACTCAGCTGACTTTGGTCATTTATGGTTTCGTCTGAACCTAACGTTAACCCTTTACTGTTGTTGTTGATAAATTGTTAGTTTTTTAAGTGTTGCGCCCCATTAACGTTAAATTTGCATTATAAGACAATATAAAATTTTTGGCGTGTTTTTACTGCCCCATATTTACTTATTAATATATAAAATATTCTCATAAAATTTGAACACAGATGGCAAAGCCATAAAACGAATTGTAACATTTTTTATCATAAAATTTTGCTCGTCTAAAAATTTTTGAAAACTACATTAAGAACGAGATTCAACATTTTTAAACTTATGAAAATCGTAAATTAAATGATAAAAATTAAGAATTAGGCGTTGATTTATTTGATTTATACGTAGTAAATTGGAAAAGCAATTCGTTAGGAGTAAATGACAATTTCGGTCATGGAGAGGTGTGTGAAATTGTAATAAAAAGATAAAAATAGTGTAAGTTAAAATATGATGTTAAAATATGATGATTGTTGAGACGAGCGCAGCGCGTTACTACAACGTAAATGTTTCGGCGAGTTTTATCAGGAGGACATGTAATCTATTTACTTCACGTCTATGTTTACGACAAGTTATCCATGTGTTAGAGCAGTAGTAGATGATGTAGTTTGTGTAATACATTTTAACTTTGAAATTATAGCACGATTGTAACGTTTTCAGTCGCCCGGAGTCGCCTCGGCGGCGTGTAATGCACTTACCTTGGAAAGCACTTATCTTTACGTATTAATCATTGCCAAATACTTATATAGTTTCTACCTATATCTATAACACTCTCCCTACGACAGGGATACTTACATGTCTCACACTATCCATCCTGTTTCTCGTAATATTATGAGGTACAGTCACATGCATAAATGTGGATACACTCAGCAAAGCTCTACCGATTATTATCTCTAAATATTAACTCGAAATTTCGAACACCTTCATGATACCTGTAATGGTACATGGTAAATGTTACGAAAAGCTACTGGACATACTTTCATATAATTATTGTCTCACAAATGTATTGTACTGGCGTAGACAAGCTACTGAATTACTAACTGTAAACATATTTACACACGTGACTGGACCGACACATATTTTTTGGAGGACTTTTGGATATTTCCGTTTAGCGATTCTCAACATAACGTAGTTGTTAAGAGACTATTTATCGTGTAAGTAACTTACCTACAGCTTTATACGAAGTAAATTGTTATCTTTTGCTTATAAATAAACTAAACTTCTTATGATATATGTAATGGATTTCTATATTACGACTAATATGAAGGTTTGTACTTTGGCGTTTCGTAACCTTTCTGCTATTTAATGGATGGCGTTGTCCGGTTGAAGTTTGAAACATTAGGTGGTACGATAAGGTTAAATTGGTAGTTTTGGATCACGTGTCAATTTGTGTCTTTCAACAGTGTTTGTAGACGTTAAGATGCGTTTTTCAAACGAACTAGTGTAGGGAAATTGTCGCGGGCTGTGCATTTCGTATAGGTTAAGTATCGGATCTCAAGTTGGACTGTTGAAAATGTATCTTACACCTGCAACACTCATTCCGTTCATTTAATAATAATTTGTATTTGTTTTACTAATGTCTCTGACATTAAAGAAATTCCTAAGTGGTATGATATCCTGTAGGTAATATTATAAAGTTACCTTCGAGATACCACCTGAGTCTGTTTAACTAGAATCCAATCTACGTATCGTTCTTACGATTACGTACGTTTCTACTTATTAATTTGATTGACTTATTAAGCTGTAAGCGTGACAAGGACAAGCAGAATGATCCTGATTTCCTCACAGAAAAATCTGTGCACCCCACTTATTTGAAAAATTATACGGGTACCTACTCGCTTACATTAAAACCTAACGAGACCTTTGGACTGACCGGGCCTGTACGTATATAAACGTTTCATTACCTATGGTAAAATATGACCCTATCCTATAGGTAGGTACCTAAGCTAAAATTTTAATAATCGTATAATATATTCATACATTACTATGACATAATAATATCTGTATGTTATATAGAAATAGTATTTTTCAGTAGCTATTTTCTGCTCCGATTGCATAACTTTTTTACTGCTTGATACTTCAATCTTCTGTACTGGCTTCTGGGGAACAGGTAGGTATACGCCTTGCATGAACTAGGTGGAACTAGGTCGCCGACTCTGAATAGCTAATACTAACTTAGGTAAAGCTTGTACCAACACCATCATAGGGATACATCATAGAGGTAACATCACGTTAGGTCTTTACCCGTACGGCATGTAACATGTAACGTAATAAAAAGTCGAGCAAAACCTATTTACATTTAGATCGAGCACGGTAACTAAATCACATAATTAGAAATGTTTAACAAATCTTTTGACTATATTATAATACTCCAGTAACCTATTTTATTTACCTATCTATATTACTTAGTTTCCATTTACATCTAGAACCTAGGTACCTATGTAAAATTTATTTTTATAACGAAGGCGCCTAATTGAAATTACTTGTGCCTGGCTAAGAGAGAAGTAATTAAATAAAAGTACCTAGGCCTTTTAGATCACTATTCTATTACAGAGGAGCATAGGTACTCATTTTGGTACCCAAACACCTCATCTATCGTTTGTAACGTATTTAAAACATAGTGCCATGTTGAAAATGTAATCGATTCTTCGTATTTAAAGGGACATCATCTGTATTTTATGGATCTTTCAATATATGGCTATAACGATCTGAATACGATTTTAAAATAATGTATGGTTTATTCCTGTTATTGGTAAATTCCTGTCTACTAATTAGTCTATCATTTTATTTAAATGTGACAAACTTTATATTGTTTATATAATTTCTTACTGGCGACGAGCTGACTGAAATTATGAAATAAGACCTATAAGAATGTTGCTTAACATGTATTCTGTAACGGAAGAGAAGTTTCTAGAAATTTGTACCTAATCTGGAGGAATGCAAATGCAGCGGTGTAGTCGCCATTTACTGATTTGTAATCATACCTACTTATACCTGATAATACCTACTTATTCTCTTTGTCTGTAAATAGTAATTTATTATTCGCCTACTTTCATAGATATTATAATAATATTCACTTTTAATAATAATGATTAATAATAAACGAATTGAAATTAAATTCGTATTTTATTTGCCAGGACATCCTTCTACCTAATTACCCATTTAATAACATGATAATAAATAAATTGTAACTCGGGTCTTAGGCTCAAGAAAAGACCGTACCATGAAATGATTATTTACCTATTTTATATTGTTCAGTAGCAGAACAAAACCTATAAAGGTAGATTTACACAAAGTCCATAACTGACTCCGAAATCGATACAAGTCAGCGCTGACCCAAGAAAAATCCAATGTAAATTGGTTTGAAGTCAGTACAGCGGCAGGACGTTTTTTTTATGGAATAGGAGGCAAACGAGCAGACGGATCATCTGATGGTAAGCGATCAGCGCCGCCCATGGACACCCGCAACACCAGAGAAGTCAAAGTCAGCGCTGATTAGAAATCCCCACGAATATTTTGAGTAAGAATAAATTTGCATCAAAGAACGAGCCGAAATCATTGTTGTTGTGATAATTGAAGCGGAACCTAGAGGACCGCATTCTGAGAGTGCCTTGCACCGAACTTTACATATGGTTGAAATTTTAATTCTCCGGATCACTTCCTACAAACCGATACTAAGACGTTGTACCATAGTAAGAAGTATATAAAAATTGTAGTAGTAACATTTTGTTTAGTTAAAATATTATTTTATAACCCAGGGTGATAGGAAAAAAGTGAAACGTGGAGTACCTAAGTCTGCCCGCGAAAGAATAATCTTCAAAATTATAGTATTTTTATTTGTTGAATTTTCTAAAGGATACCTACTAGGACTTCATAAGGTAGGTAATAGGCAGTTTTGCAATAGAATCCTAACAACTACAAACCATAATAATTTAGTGTAATATAAGATTAACTCGGTAATATACTGGGTGTAAACAGAACCTTTCTGAAAACATAGACAAAAATATGTTATTTTTACAATTTACATCGTTTTTGTTTTCGTGTCGTTCATGCTTTGAGCAGTTGATTATAACTATTACCTATGCATAAAAGAAACATTGAGATAAAACCTTTTTTTTAAGTAAAACTCATTTACGGTCACCTGTCTTCGTTTTTAGATGCGTTCCGTTTATACCCTATAGTTTATGGGTAGGGAAAAATAAAAACCGAGTAAATGTATATTTCCAATTTATTTATATTGTCAATAAACATAACAACTTGCAATTAAACATACAATTCAATAATTAATACAATAGGAGCCAAAATAGCAGGTAAGCGTGTGCTTTGTCCGATAAATTGTTTTCGCCAATATTTTTTTTTATATTGAAATAATAACAACATAACTAATAACTTACAAGCACATAAACTTATTTGAAATCAGATTATTAGAACATCACGAGATTTTATATTCATTAACCTACTTTTTATATTTCATCCCGATTCGCAGCATGACTTGTATTTGCAAATATGCCATAGTGGTATCCCGCCTTTACACAAAAGGTATTTAAGTGCTTCTCTACCGAGAGAATAGAAAACTGAACCTATGTATGAGCTGGACATTTATTTTGACAGTGTCAGTGTCATTCCCAGAGGTTTCTATTCTATTCTCTTGGGAGAAGAGCGATTAGAGACAGCACTCACTCCCGGCGCGACACGGCAGATTATGCTGTGGCATGCCACGATCCGCAGGAGCGCGTCGCGGCATCATCGTGTCAAAATAAAGTAACATGAACTCCTCATTGCAGTGACAGTGGCATTAAGTGCCGTAATGTGCAGTGCACCTATGCCTACCCCTTCGGGGACAAAAGACGTGATGTTATGTTAAGTGAACTCTACTCATTGCAATAGTATTAAAAACAACATGATTAGTAATAAAACATTAATAATTTGCCATGTAATAAATATTTTGCCATGCCATATCGCGCTGTGCCGGCAATGAGCGCCAGCCCTTAAATGCTATTTACTCATAGCACCATTTAGAAGCTTTGTAAACATTCGTAAGTTTAATACGAGTGTTAACAGGAAACGAAAAGTGTTTTCGTTTTGTACGTTTATTACCGACTTCTTCTCATGCATAAATCAGCAGCGCCTCTAGCGAAAACTTAGAGAAACTAAAGGCAGTAGGACTGGAAACACGTTAAACTATTCGAAAATAGTCATCGGTTAGTAGAAATTAAGAGTATGAGTTACAAACAACATTGACAAGTCGATGACAATAAACTTGATCGCGATTATCGCTTACGCTTTATAACTCACTGAATAAAATAAAAATTGGCAATTTTTTGTAAGACTTTCGATTGGACACTAAAATGAGCTTATTAGATAGGTATATAATGTCTGTAAGGTGTTGTGTACATTGTTTGGAGAAAATCGTCTAAATAAATAGTCTTCAAAGTTTTTTAAAATTAAACTTTTGAATTTAACTATAATTTAAAAATTTAATCTTTTAAAATTATAATTTAATAATTAAAAATTTAATCTTAATTGTAAGACTTCTTATTGTCCAAATACTAACTCTTATTTACTTTTAAATTATATAACTTTTTAAATGTAACTTTTTAAAAGCAACTGCGAATTAAAATTGCCACAGATAATAATTTAAATAACATGACACAGACAGTCACAGACTATTGGCAAGACGTTAAATTAATCTAAAGCGTCTATTTCACTTTAATATGTGAGAGTAAAAGAGATAGGTATATGAATGAACTTCGTGCATAAATATGGTTGTAAAGTATATCGATATCACTACTAATAAAATAGTAAATATTATAGGAAATCAAACCGTAACTGTTCCACTAGATATCAATAGTCACTTCGTTCTCTCATGGGTTACAATGACATAATATGACAGTGCACATAAAGATGGCATCCTAATTTTATTTTGCAGAAAATAATAAAATAAATATTAGCTATAATTAACTCGAATTGATAAATAATGATAAAAAATATTTAGATTTTAATTTCAAAATATAATTTGGCTTTATATTTAAACGTAAAAAAATAACATCACGCCTTTATGTCCCCGAAGGAGTAGATAGACGTGTGACATTGTAGCACTCAATGCCACTGTACAAAGTAACAGCCACTTTTCACTATTTATGTTATGAGTCCCATGTAATAGGGGAACTCCGTGCTACTACTGAGATTGATTTAAAAAACCCATTAATACTTTGTCCGACCAGGGAATGGAACCTGAGACCCTTGTCCGGCAGTGGCACTTGCGACCACTCAGCCAACGAAGCAATCCAAGCCAAGTAACTATTATATTGTAAAATATTGACATTATCACCACCCAGGTTGATGGATGATTTGGATCGAACCTAGACTAAATCAATGGTAGTTCGAACTAAATCGGCCCCAAAACTTTTGATAATGTTACATTACGACTTTACAGGCTAATATATACTAGATTTTAAAATCCAAGAGATCACAAAACGACTATAATACCTATAATGGACAGTTAAGGAAAACATAATAAACTAACAAATAAGGCAGACTAGACTTGTAAGCCACTAACAAAGCAATAATTACGTAGGGAAATCGGTGGTAAAACTGGAAAATAGTGAAGCCAACAATATTTTCCCCTTACAACCCCATTTTATTTCTATGGCCATTTTTAATCATACTTGTCACCTAAATCTTAAGGAAAATCTTAGTAAAATAGCATGGCAGTCACATTTTCATGATCCGTCTCGCGGACTTTCTACTTATCAAATAAATTCCCTATTCTTAGGAATTATTGATATAAATGACATTTCCATATTTAAGTACTTAGTAATACAAGGTGTTTGGAAGATTAAACAATGTTGGTTCATTACCTATTTAATTTCATAAAAAAGGGTGCGGCCTTTAGGCTTTGTCTCAACCCTCCAAACAGCCTGTACGTCTCTAATTTAGAATATAGGTACAAAAGGTAAGCCATTTTAACTATATTCAACTCGCTCCAATTTAATATTATCATCAGAAAGTAATACATACTTCCAATTATTTATTACATTACAATAAAGTGTTTTAGAATATTCAGAAATTGCTATTTTATTGCCATGTAATGTATTACTTCTATAATCTGCGATAATTTATCACATGTATTGAGTATTTCTAATTTAATAAGTACCTAATTGTGTATTTACATAAGTTTCGACTAAACCACAAGTAATTGAGATAAGTTCAAAACGACCCGTATATATTGTTTGTGAGATGTTCTGATGTTTTATATTACTTTTCATCTAGGGTGCGAATCGCTCTACTTTTGGCAACGGATCGGTAATTTTGTTGCGTTTCTGAATAAATTCGACGATAAAGGATTTTCAACTAGTTTCTTTATTTCTCAATTCTACTAGCAAAATATTCAATCGTAGCATGTGCTGATAACCATATAGTCATTATTGTATAAAATATTTTAATCAAATTATGAATCTAGCCTCATATTAGATTCCTTCATACGTCGAAAATATAGTTTGTTGTTACAGGGCTCTCAGCCCTGTAATTCTGTTACCTATATCTTCTTCGGTGTATCGCTTAATTACTCAAATATTACTACCGGTATAGTGAGCCTACACAATACGTCCAACCCCAATGTTGAAACAAAACCACTGATCAGTAATAAATAAGAAAAGCTTCGTGTGCGCAAATCCTACAATTGAATTTAAATAATAACCTCAAGTGAATTCTACAATATAATAATTATATTACATAATACCACTAGTACTATTTTCGCACCGAACATCAAATTATAAAGAAAATCGCTGAAAAACGTATAATTAAGTCAAAGTATGTTGGATGGTAGACAAATCGGAACAACCTGTGGATAAGTAACATAGAAGCAACTTCATATAAAGTTTACATGAAACTTTAAAATATACAGCATACCGTTTAATATAAATGCACCAATTTATATTGACTACTTCAAATACAAACTATTATTGTAAAATTCAATAAATTACTTAAATTTAACGGCGCCAGCGACTATAATTAATAACATAAAGTACTGATCATAAATACACAAACACACACACAAATATAATTTGGATACTAAAATAATCTTAGATTTAGTGTAAATAGGCAAAACATTGCATTTTGGTTAACATGTCACCGAGACGCCACAATAGCGCGTGAAGAAGGCACTCACTGTGTTGGTTCACGGCCTCAAAATCGAAGCATTTGTTTCAATAAACACACATACACTTTTAAACAGTCCTAATAAAATAATTGCTTTATATCATCTGTCTGCTCATTCCAAATTTTATACTCGTATGGAGAAGAACGAGGAAAAAATCTAAGTATTTCCTACAGCCACACCACCAACATTCTAAATTGACCAATCTTTTTTGTTTGTTCTAGAGCACTAATGGCCGTTTTCAACAATCTCTCTTAAATTTTATGAACCTTAAAGTAACATAAGAGATGTTTAACGTCATTTTCGTTTTCAACAACCTATAAGTGACAGACACTTAATAGTACAAGTAAGGGGTTAGTTGAGCTACTGAGTTACGCTAAGTAACTTAGTTAAATGACAGTTTACGGAAGATTGGTGGTAACGGCCACAAGTCACGCTAATGAGGCGTCTCGATAAAATACAACCGCAGAAGGCACAAAAATTCGATTCAACGTTATGATGGACATTGTCTAAGATATTCTGGATCAAAGTAAGCGACTGTGACCGTCATGTCGTCTCTGAACGTGCGACAGATATCGGGGGACAGCGTGAGCAGGTGCGCCAGTCTCGAGTGGTCCACTCCATACTCCGTGCCACCAATGGCGTGGCGGATAAGATGTGTCGCAGCATTTTTATCCTTGGGTTTGCTTTTCAAACTTTCTTTTCTATGCGACAAGAGTTCATCAATAGCTCCTAGTTGAATATTCTTCTTCGGCAAATTCAAGGGATTAAAAAACACTTTACCTTTCATGTGTTCGCCAACCAATTTGACAGCTTGCACAGGAGTCATCATGTCCCAAAGACCGTCTGAAGCAATTATTAAAAAGTTATCTTTAGGTGTCAGCCGATGGTAGTAAATATCAGGCTTTGCTGTAAGATACGGCGGAGTGTAATAGTTGGCAGGTACCGCTCTGGGCCCCATGTATGGCGTGGCAAATTTTTTGAGAACTTCAGCCGGCCACTTGTATCTGTAGTCACCTATGCTACGGAGAGGTGCTAACTCGCCGAGCAACCTGTCCCTTCTTATCACAGTCTTTCTTTCACTATCAGGATGTTCATTCCAAATTCGTTTTAGTTCATCAAAGTTTTCTGCATTGTGCTCTTTGGTTATCTTTTTGGCTATCCATTCATTTTCGTCTGTCATAGTGCCCAGCACGGCATTACAGTCCCCCACATTAGCTACGTAGAGATGTGGACCATCGATATGTGCGACACACGCCACTGCCCCAGATAGGGCAACGGATAGGCTTTTGTAATTCACTTCACCATTCAATTTGTAAGCATCAACTACTTCTTTCGACAAATCACTATCCAATCTCATTATTGCTTTTTCTAATGAAGCCTGAACAGTTCTTGCCTTAGGTTCAGCTACAAGATCCGACAAATATTGTTTGAAACTATAATGATGTATATTCTTTAAATCTTCCACCATTTTCATCTGAAATTCATGAAAAATTGAACCTTGTACATTACAGTTCTCAATCAAATTGAACATAATGCTAATGACATTGATAAATTATATTTTTTATAAACTCGAGCATTCATTGAATTAATTAGTAGAAGCTAGGGCTTGCATGACAACAGATTTCGCAATGTTAGACAAAATGTGTAAAATTGTCGCATTAGCTTGTTGACCATGACAAGAAAATAATTGAGAAGCAAATAAACACAATAGCCATAATATAAAGAAGTTGTACCTTATCATTAAAAGTTTCCACTAACTTCTCTGGTGGCATGTCACCATCTCGAAACTTGATAAGGACATCCGCTGGTAGGAGGGTAGCTGCTATGTAATTTAACAGTCGCTTCGACAACACCTGGGCGCATTGTGGCCCACCATGCCCATCAAATATACCTAAGAGCATCCCTGTTGATGATAAATAATGAATATAAATAGTCTATCACACATACAATACAAAAGTAATGTTAACATCAACAATCTCACTCATTCATTACTCAATACAATGACATATATGATTTTTATATTTACCTGATGACAATGTGCAGACTCCTTCAGCTCTGGTATCTTCAATAGGGTCATTTGAAGCAAGCTGGTTAGAGTCATATGACTTAATTGAACCTTGTGTGAATTCTTTATTAAATTCATTTTTCCGCAGTATAAGTGTGACCTGAAACATGCAACAATTATTAATATAGAATACAATCAATGAATTACACAATATCTAATGAATGTTACATAACTGGGACAAGCTAGATGTATATAATTTAGCATCTCATGAATATCCCTATGAAAATAAAAATGTAATCAGTATGAATATATCATGATAAACCTATAATTACATTAATTACATTATGATTCAGGAAAGACTAGTCTCAGTAAAGGACTTTTATTAGTTTCTCTTTTACAACAAAACATTTATAATTATAAAATGTGTTTGTGACTAAACATAAATGTGTTTCTTGAAATCAAGCTAAACTATCAATATTCATATTAAAATTACTCCTCATTAATATTTTAACCCCATTTGGTCATTTTAATGGTAGTAAAGCCACAAGTGACCTCTTTAGATTGACTTCATACTTATGTAGTATTCGAAAAAATATTTCGGGCATAGAAACAATGTAAGGTACTTATATTTCGTTAATCACATAAGAAAACCAATATAATATTGATTTACTTACTTCTTGCGGCGAAGGGATGACTGTTATACCATCTTTAAGTGCATATTCGGTGTCAGTTGCGTTAAAATAGCGATAGCATGTAGTCCTAAAGTTTCGTTGCTGATCGGCAGATTTACTATGATTTAGATGAAGGTTACTCCACAATAGTTTATGTTTAATGTTCAGATCTAATTTCATACACGTATTTAACAAAAACTTTGCATACAAACTATTCATATTTACGTGAAAACGACAAACCTAAGTAGCCGGGGATCACGATCATGTTATGCAAGCATTACCAATTTTAACATTTAATTATCATAATAATATTACAACCTACTATTGCACTGATACAATCAAACACATGCTCATACAATAATTATATTGTCCGGAATATTATCACTGAGCATTTCCAATACCAATCAATTTTAAGGTAAAGGATTAAAAAGAATTTGAAATAAATAAACCACACTGACATTACATTTCATTTCAACAATCAACCTCAATCAAAGACTCAAAACTCAAACCTCAAATCGCAATTTGCAGTAAATCCATCCGCATCCGTTAGAAAAATAATAACTAACTAATTCTAGACTCTATGGTAAGGTGTTCTATATATAAATTTATAGTTCCATAATCGACTATTCCATTGCGAAACGTCAAAAAATCAAACTAAATAATATACTGTTAATGTCATTATTGTCAGTCTACTGCTGATGTACTTCATAAAAGATAGAGGTTGGCAACATTGGGTAAAAAAAAAAAATTTTAACTATGGCGTTATGTTTTGAACCCTAATGCCCTGAACTTAGATTACACCAAACTTCCTCACTTAAAAAAGTATACACAATTATAAAATAAATAAATTCTATTCCATTTTGAAATTTGACCCTTGAATAAACTATCTGCAGTGTCCTGTAGACAGAATTTATTGTCTCCTCTCTCGTCTCTTCTGTCGACATACAGAAGTTTTTATAATGTCGACAAAGCGCAAGCGCTACCAAATCTTTCGGGTCAGTAGCACTGGCGCCATCTGAATATTGCTTTCACCGACCAACCCCCCACTAATCGACTAAAAAAATAACCATTGAAATGCCTTTTTATGCAATCATTGCAGTATGTACAAAGAGCTAGAATTATATAAAATATTACCAAAGCAGTGGCTCGTAAGAACAATGACCTGATTTTGTCTTCACTACAATACATTACGAAATGTACAAAGAGAATATAATATCAATACGTAATCCATGAGTAAGTGACTTCCATAACTTTGACATTCAATGGGGCTAAGGTTTGTTTGCTCAATAGATGGCGCAAATGTAGGATGGGGTTTTTGGTCCAATTACAACAACGTCATATATTGAACGACCAATGGTGTGATACTACATATGTAATACCCTATTAGACGAAGAACAAAATTAAGCGAAATTACCTATGGTTACTTTATGTGCATCTGCGGGAATGATATTTAAAGATTATATTCGTACAAAATCTTTGCCATTATCGTTAACTTATATCTTACATGGAAAGTCAAAGTCTCCAATTAACATTGTTGCCAATCACGAAGACGCAAAAATATAGTTGTCTTTCATGAAGTTAAACAAATTTAATATTATGATTAGAATAATATAACTCCGTCGCCTACTCATGATCATAGTAGATCGCTGCTAGAGAATTAAATAATTATTTTATGTATTGTTTTATTATGCATTCTTAAAAAATGTTCATGGCCATAGAGATGGCCAATGATAATACAAAATTTAATAGAACGAGTATATTATTAGATGTCTAAAATTGATCAATTTCAACCGTAGGATATTTTACTAAATACCTATTATAATAATCTGAGTTTATTATAAGTTCATTTTATTTTTTGAATTATTGTTTATGTTGCATGCAAAGACATTGAAAAGCTAGACAGCGGTTTTTTTCAACGTCCTTGGTTGCAAGATGTTTCTAAAAATTACTATTAAATTAATGCCTGTACAGATTTATCACACAACGAATAGAAAAATGCGCGCGCATCACGTAGTAAGTACATATGTACGAAATGATGTCACATTCTTAAATCCATAAAAGAGGCTATTCTCTAACGAAAAATATTATATGATTTTACTTATTATGTACTGATAGAAGCATCATATTTTTATTTACACAAAAATAGGAATAATAAAATTATAACTACATAATAGGATAAAATAATAATCATCAGTTTGCAACTTTACGAATACATTGAAGAATAGACACTGAGAAAAAAGAAAGAGAACGCATGCGCAATGCGCATGTCGAATTCGTCATTCATCGTTCGTTCGCTTTGGCCGACATCGCGGAACGGTCATTTTTTCGTGATCTGCATTTTTTTGCCAACGAGATACTAAACTTATAATTAAACAAAATGCCCAACCAGGTGTTAACTATAGAGCCTCAAAACGAACTAAAATTTAAGGGTGAGTACTCAATCTCTTTATTTTGCGCAAACCAATAAACCGCCGCATTGAAACTTGGGTAGCATACATAGGTCGCGAGCTAGCTACTGACAAATGGAGTTTCTATTTCCAGATATCGGCGTTTTGTCAGGGTGCGGTTTTTTACATTTTCCTTATAATTAGATACGAATCACGTAAATAAACTTATAATTAACTGTATTAGCTTGTGTTCATAGAGTGATCATTAGGAAAATTGGTTTTCACACTTAAATGTTACCTACATGGATATGGTTGTAGTCGCTAAGAAACTTATGTGTACCGACCAGTTGTAAGGTTCCGTTCACGTAACTTGCATCTTTATTTTGTTAGAATTTGCATATAATTAGTCTGGGTTTCCGATTATTCTTATTATTGCCAAGACATCATCGCATATGTCTACATCGATCAAGTCGCAATTGCTAAAACCTAACTACCTGCCTAAATGTCGAGAACCATTCTGCATCATGAAATGACACATTGCTACTGAGATTTAACAAAAGTAATTCGTTATTTTTGTAACTAATGTAAATAATTTGATACTCATTGTTCTTAGATCTTTTCTTGAATGTTTCTATTTGTCTTGAAGTACCTATATATTCAAATTAAAATGTAGTTAAAGTTTTATTGCTTTTTAATGTTAATAGTGCTGTAAGTTTGATAATAATTAATTTGTTAAAGCCTATTTCAAGTTGATTCAAAAAGAAGAACAAAATAGGTAGTTGAATATTGAAACTCAGCATTATCAAAACACATAATAATAAATGTAGGAAGTTTTCTTGACAACTAGCCATCAATAAACAAAGCAGTACATTCTATATTGTTCAATAGTCAAGATAATATACTCAGCCAGTACCAGGTGAAACATTCTTCACAGATTTTTTATAACAAACAATGAGCTTACATAGCCAATCCACAATTAAATTGAAAAATGTATCATTGAAAGATATATTTTCAGTCATATTGCTTTCTTAACAATAAACATTTAAACTACAATTACTTTATGAAATAGTTAGATATATATCCTCTTGATACCTCTTAATATTAAACCGTAAATATTCCAACTGTAGTCTCTAGGACCATTAATCAATTGATAGCTGCTAATACTTTAGTATAATTAAAATTCTAAATGTAGTTTTGTTTTATCAATATGTTGTTCATGGAAATAAATGATTCATCAGGTTTGAGTTTCATAGTAATTTAAGCCTAGATATGTTTCAATACAACAACTGTTAATTTTAGGTTCATACAATATATTTTTTAACTGCTGAGTCCCCGAGATTATATTAACTGTGACCACTTGTTCACTGTGACAGCTTATAGCTTTTATACTAGAAGTAGATTTTCTTTTTTGTGAAATTAAATATAAAAAATGCAAGTTCTAACTATCGTAGGTATTTTAACATAATATAAGGGCAAGGCAAAGGATAGGCAGAGGTGCACTTTATGGCACTTAATGCAACTGTACAATGTAACACTCAATTTTCACTATTTATGTTATGAGTGTCATGTAATAGGGGGGAAGCCTATTGCCATATTTTAACAATTATTTATAATCCTACTAATATTATTAATGTAAAAGTTTATGAGGATATACATCCTCACCATGTGTTTGTTAACTACACTTTCACATTAGAATGGCTGAAGGGAATGAGATGGAATTTGGGACAGAGGTAGATTATGGTGGGGAATAACACATAAGCTACTTTCTATCCCACTGAGATGTGGGTGAAGCCGCTGGCAGAAGCTAGTATGTTCATAATTTGTTTGTATAACAATAAGTATAAAGCCAAGTTCAAAGATGGATAATGTAATATTTACTATTCAAATTATGTACATAGCATTACATGTCTAGGTTAAAACTGTTCAACATAACTAGCATGTATAAAGTATGTATTGTTATTGTAACACAAATTACCATCTTGTTGCACTTCTATAAATATTTCTTTTATAAAGTTTACAGAATTTGAAACAGATAATATTTAGCTACATTTTCTTATTCTCTTTTTATAGGTAACTTGTGCTTGATAGTTTTGAACATGACAGTTTTGTTATGTGTAATTATTGAAAGTACCTTATGGTATTGGTGTGCAATACTAAATAACTAATGATATTTTTTCACTTAAAAGTACCTAATTAAAGACTTTCTATGATTTGATGTAAATTGTAACAATATTCAGAAAAAATTCTGCTTTAAAAAAGGTAGAGTCCTTTAACTCGTTGAGAACCGTCATTATAGACACAATTAAAGAACAATAGGTTGCGGTCACCAGTGACCGCTCGGTGTTGTGACAGTTTAATATTCTATTGCAACACAAATATTTACATAGCACATTCCCTTGTCTGGAATTAGGATGTTGGTATTACATTAAATAAAATTATAGACTATTTTTAACTAAACACAACAACATTTCTCTTTAATAAATGTGTGTAAACTTTAATATAAAAGACGAATTCTAAAAATTATCAATTTGATTAAAATTTACTAAAATAACAAAGGAAATAGAAGTAAAGCTTATAGTTAGATATTATGCTTATTAAGAGATAACATAAGGAGGATATAATTGAGATTAATGAAAACGAAACATCTTGGACTAAAACCTTTAGTTATATAAAAAAATATCAGCCACAACTGTTATTTCTTTTGTGTATGTAAGAAAGGTCTACCTACCTATATGTAGCTGCATTTGTAAATTTAAGTAATGCGATAATTCAAATCAATATATCCTACAAATTAAAGTAGATAAACGAAAACAGGTTATTTTGTGAGTATATTGCTGAAATTCTTAAATATATTCACGTAGACATTGTATAGAATATCGGCAATACTGTTATCGTACACAAGTAGTTGTTTCGTTTAGAATTCGAACCCACGACACTTATACAACCGATTGCACATCGAAGAGGCGGCATGACCTACACAAAACTTA